ATCAAAGGCAATGAGCATTCAACTTGGGAATTATAGATTTATTTGGAAGGTATAGATTTATTTCTTCCTTACACGTGGCTTTCTTATTCCACTCTTTACCATCCCCAGCTGAGGGTTAGAGGGTGGTGCAAGAGTCTTGGAAGCAAGAAGAACCTTGACATCAAAATTGGATCTCCTGTGCAGACTGGCCTCTAGTTCGTTGGGTGGAATCAGATCTACCGTTCTCTTAAAATTAATTGATCAACGCCTCAGGAAGTATATACAGAACATCATTATGTGACCTGTGTAAAACTGTTATGTGGGTATCTGGGCTATTTCTCTTAGTAGTGGATAAAGTTTTAGAAACTTCTACAAATAGTAGAGCTGGAAGCCTTTTTTCAGAATGAACATTTATGTCCTGCAGAAACCCACATAAATGGATTAGGATTTAATCTGCTTCTAAACTTCTGCCAACAGTAACCATGATAAAGGTTATTTGGCCTGTTTTGTGATATATGAAAATTTGATAGGTTATCAGCAACGATCCATTGTGGAATATTAATGCAGATTGTCTGTTTCACCCCCAACCATTAGGCGTATATGTGATTGCACTTCAAGTAGTATTATTACCAGTTAGATAGACAATAGTTTGCTGCAATTTTAGGCTACGATATAACTAAATTGCCCTTCTGTGTTTAGAAGCAAAAAAGTGTTAAGAGCTGGTCTAGACCTAGAAATGAGACTATCTATTGGTCAGATTTAAAAATAAAATACTGGGTAATGTTTCAACAATTAAACAATGAAAATATGAATTGAAAATTCATCTTTGCTGTGGATTCCTTTTCTCTTTTTCTTCAAGAGTAGAGAACTGGTTTCTGGTATCATTTTTTCCTAAGGGAAAGATTTTGGTAGAGAAATTTGTTATTTTTTTTATTCTTTCTTTTGTTATTTCCTTTCTATTCCTTTTTATGCATAGACATACCTCATGGCTTCTTGTGTCTTTTTTCCCAACGGGTAGTATGTGTTCCAGAAATCTGCAACTTTCATTTATCTATTCCATTTTTCTTTTCTATTACATCAAAAAAAAAAATCACTACTTTTGAAGTGCCTTTTCCTTTTATTGTCTTCAGATATTTGTAATCTACTGCTCTCTGTGTTGTGGTTTTTTTGTTGTTTTGTGGTGGTTTTTTTTATTAGTACCTGTGCTGTTAGAGGTCAATTGAATGAGTTTGTGTGTGTACATGCACGTTTTTAGGTGCTTATTTTGCACTGACAAAATTGGTAGGTACAAACCTGATAGCTGAAAATGGGCTATTGCGTAAGTGTCCTTTGCATGCATTATTTTGTGCCTGAAAGAGATTTACAAGCACTCTGTCCTTAAACAATAAATAACTTTAGTTGCAACACTTAAAAATAAAAGTTAAAGATTTTAAGTTCACTGGGGATACATATGTATAATTTAACACCGTTCAGTAAGAGATGTAAATTTTGAGTTTAGATGTGTGGGAAACATGAATTTCTGTGATTATATAGTCACAGGCATGTCTATAAAGCTATGCCAAATGATAATATTTGCATAAATATTTATATAAATATGCTATACTTGCACAGCATTTGTAGGCGTTTTATATCTAACTTAATTTACCATTTCGCAGTGATACTGAGCTGAACCAACAGCTAAGTGCTTCCAAAATGGAAGACATAATTCCTCTTCGAGTTCCTCAAGTTTGGGTTTAGTGATGCAAAGACTATGGTGTTGCCTTTTACATGGAAATCAATATGCGTATAAAGTGAATATGATATCTTTTAAGATTCATTATAGCCTGTATGTTTCTAAAGGAGATGTTGTTCCATGAAAAAATAGGGGAATAATTGATAATAGGGTGTTTTCGGATAGTTGGAAAAATTTTTCCTATATTTTTGCAAAAGAAATGTTGAGATGTATACTCTGAGATTAGCATAGGTCTGGCTTTGTCTAATGCTCTGTGTTTTTATGCATTCCAGAGTAGTATGGCCACTTAAAAACGTGACTGTTTCTTTTCATTTAAATTTGGTACAAGCTAGCAGGGGAATTAGAGAAATTCAACTGAAATTTCTAGTTTGTTGTTTACGTTATTTTGAACTAAACCCGTAGTAATGGAATAACCTTATAAAATGGTCGGATTTCATAGAGTGGGAGGACAGTTACAGAAAAAGGAAAGAAGTGTAATACTTAATGTTTCTTCGTAAGGGGACATGCATGTCAAATTGAAGCTCATGGTAACTGTTGGCGTATTCCCTTAAGCACAGTATTTTGCCTATGATTTTTGAAAGGATCAGTCACTTGCAGCAATTTATGTAATAACTTTCTGGTAGGTGATTCTACTATTTTATTTACACTTTTTGCCTGGCTCACTAGAATGCAATACCTTTGCTCCTTGGTACAGTAAATGCACTCTGTAATATCTATTATGGTTTAGTCAAAGGATAATTTATTGTCAGATAGAAAAATAGGTCAACACTAATGTCACTTGATGATCAACCCCCCAAGTTTAATAAAACACCTCACCAGCATGCATTTTGCACAGTGCTTGATGGTTTATTAGGACTACAGTACCTTACAGTACCTAGCTGTAGCGGGAGTGTAATTACTGAGCTGTCAGGGTGATAAGTGGGATTAATGGCAGCCTGGTGCACTTTAGTCTGCAGAGTGCTCAGAGAATCGAAAGATGGTATTATCATAAGAGAAAGTCTGGACTGGCATATTCATGGCACCCTCCCCTCCTCCCCAAAGCTCACATTCAAGTTTGTGTTACCCGCCCCCACAATAGCTGACATTTTCAACAGCTGTTATTTGTGAACCAGCTCAAAAATCAAAAGACAAATCATTTGGTAAAGATGCTTGCTAGCCACAACGGATAATCTGTACACTGCTTAACCTGCTAGGTGCCATTCTGGTCAGTTTTGACATGAGATTGTTCTACGTATAATCCACAGAAATGTATTTTATGTTAAGTACAATCCTTTTGGTCTTGGATATAGGACTACTGTATTTTAAAGGAAACCACATTCAGGAAAGTGAAGAGCAAAAATTCATAATGGAATTGTTGCCTTTTTTAAACATGTGATTTTCCACTTCTATTATTTCCTTACTACCTACACAGGCAAAATGGTCATCCCCAGACTCATAGTGATGTATTTTGCCTAGTGTATCTCCTTTTCTTATTTCTGGCTTCTAGTACTAAAACTTTGCTGTCTTTCAATCTGCTTAGAATGCTAAGAGCATCCTCTTGACTTGGTGCTCTGGCCACATCAACCCTTTGAGGTCCCCACTGGCCTGCCTTTGCTTGTTAAGGCATTCATAACATGTGCCTGTCAGTGAGTAGCACAGAGCACTGGCATATTTAACTGCCACAGCTAAACCTGCTGATGCTCTTCTGCCAGAGCCCTCTGACATCCTGACTAGTTGAACTAGTAACCTACTATGGTAGTGAACCTGGATTTGGCTTAATCAGATTTCCCAGCTTTTGCAGCCTGTGAGACCTGTTTTCCTTTAAATATTTCCCCTGGGACCTTTTTTCCATGACTGGTTTTGTGAGAAAATCCAAACAGCCACTCCCACATGTGCCTTCAAATTTTGCTGGTGCCGTGGTGTCTACAATACCCAGCTAGATGATAAAGAATAGGAAGATGAAAGACTAATTAATCTTTCACTTAACTGGTTTTGCCTTCTCTCTTATTCCACCCTTAATTGAAAAAACAAGCAAGCAAACAAAAAAGAAAACAAAAGCAATGCATGTGATTGACAAAGGCCACTTTTTCACTGCAAGTATTTCAGGCATTTCATTCCTTTTAATGTGCTCTTCATTTCTTTGTGCGTGTGGTCCATAGGCCTCCTGCAGCTTTTCTGTATTTGAAAATACTCTGTCCCAGCCAGTTCCACAGTGGTGTTACCTGTCACTAAGTAACAAAAATTGAGGTGGACTTGTGGAACTTATGTAAGTAGTTATGCTCAGATAATACGTGAAAAACAAATTTTATTTCATTTTCCATAGATTGTTAAAACTACAATTTACGTAAATTCTGTACGTTAGTAAAACAATATTGAAAGAGCATCTGGAACAACTTAATGAATTATGAGATAATAGTAGTATGGCATTTGACCTATGATAATCATTGATATGTGGGTACAAATACCTTTGTGTTTAATAGAGAACCATTCTAGTTCTTCAGCTGACTTGTACCTTTTGCTGTTAGGTTTGTTTACTGCAAATTGCATAGATACCCTGAGGGCTTAATCCTTAGACGGGACTTGTGCAAGCAACCAGACCGGTACGTCCTCATGGATGACTAGGCAGGAACAGACAATAAATCTTTGCTACTTAGTATGTTTTAATATACAGTTAGGTTTTGTCATTAGGGATGGCAAGATGACAGTCTTGGGGATTTCATTTGGGAGTATGCGTAAGACTACTAAATTGTTTTCAGAGGTCACAAACATATCGCAGGGAACTCATAGAAAAGTGACTTGAAATTTTATCAGCCATTCTTATTCTTTGGCACATACAGTAAAAAGTAATTCCTTCCTCTGTGGAAATACTGTTGCTTTTGTATGTCTGGTTGTCTAACACCAGAATTTAATCTACAGTGATACTTCCAGAACTTTGTTAGTAAATTCAGATTCACAGCACAGATGTTCTTCAAATAGAAAAATGAAATGGTCGGAAGTTTAGCAGTCTTGGATTCCAGGGAAAAAATTACTCCTATGTAATTAGATGTTGTTTCCTAATACTTAGACATGTGTAGTCCGTATGTTTGTAACTGCCTTCCTTTGTAAAGTGGAGTCAACAGAACGTAACCAGTGTTGAATGCAAGTCAATAATGATCGTGTAGTGCTTTGAGGTTTTAAATAGAAATTTTATGAAAATGCTCTATATTATTCCTTTGTGGCCTATCTTCTACCATGCTAACTTGAAAACCTTATGCTATTGTCAGCATTTGTATTCCATGTCTCCTTGACACATTTTCTTTTATTCCTGTAGATGCTTAAAGTGTGCAGATGCCCCCTGTCAGAAGAGTTGCCCAACTAATCTGGACATCAAGTCATTCATCACAAGTATTGCAAACAAGGTAAAATCGGGCCTGCAGTAGTACATGGAAGCAGATAACAGCAGTTACTTGCAGTTCTGTTAGTGAGATTGCATTTCAAGGTTTATCTTTGTAAAGTCTTAAAAAAAATAGTGTTTACAACAGATGCTTTAAAGTTCAACAGTCAGCTAATTTTTAATTATTTTTGCTGCCGTTCTGTGCCTGTACATATAGTGTATAGTGCAAATCTATTTCTTCATGTCACTTTTTCATGAAGTTTTTGGTTTTGATGGTTTTCAAATATAATGATATTCAAAAAAACTGAGCATTACAGTGTAATTATTTAACTTTGCTGCTACCTGAGGTATTATAGTTACAAACCTTTTCTTTCCTGAAAGGTTTTGTGTTGTGTTTTTTTTCTTTTTTTTTTTTTTTTTTTTGTTCCCTTAAGAAATTATTATTGTTCAAATTTGCTTTGGGCAGAAATTTGACATGAAGGTGGTCATCACAAGGAATGTTTTCTTGGAGTTTTTAGTAACAGGCTCTGGTTAATGCAAATGTTGTCAGTCAGCTAAATTAATAAAATACTACAGGAATAAATTGAACCCCATCTTTAGAGGTACTGTACCTTTTCCTTTCTTAATAGGCTATTATACTATAATCATAATGAAGTCTTGAAAACATTATTCTGATTTGTGGTTTACAAATGACTTTTAACAGTCAGAAACAGAAATAAATAAAGATGACTGCAAAGTTGATATGACAAGATTAATTAGGCTGCCTGGGCTAGCCTAAAGATGACTGGCTATTGATTGCCCCATACCTTTTAGAACTTACTTCCCATGTGTGGAATCATTAGCTGCCATGTGATTTATTTGTCTGTGTGAGCCCAACTAGACTCATAATCTACCGGGGGTTCTACAAAGATTTTCTGGCCACATTTTATGCTCTAACATGTCTCACTGTTAGATGCAGCTGAAAGGGCCAACACAGGTAAAGCTGAAGTGAGCAACACCAGCACTGCTCTGTGCGAGTTAACAGCCACATTGTTTTTACTACCCTGTGTGTTGTACAGAGAAGACACCGGTAAATTCGGCACCTTAACAAGAAACATTAGGGTAAGAGGAGATATTAAGATACATGTATCAATTATAACATAACTATGTGTTGATGTGGTTTACAGTAATTGGCATTATGCCCAGTGTCTGCATATAGACAGTTTTCTTCTATAATCTGTACCCTGTCACTGCAGCATTTATTTTCATGAATGTAGGCATCTGTTTGCAACCATAGTATAGTATGCAGCATATTGCTGCTTATTACCTCTTCCAGGCATCGTGAAGCAGGCAGACTGAACAGAGAAGGTACGAGGCAGTAATGAAACTGCTAGTCTCCATCTCATCCTTGTATTTAGGAAACCTAAAGCAAATTTTATGAAAGTATTTTACCCGGATGGTCTTTTCTTACTAAGGATTAGTTATGCTACTGCTTTGAGTAGGATAGGGTGATGCGTTGTTGAGGAAAGAAAAAAGGTCTGATTATCAAAACATAAGAGCTGGGAATAAGGAATCAGGGAAGATGGACTGAAGACTGCAAAAGAAGTTGTCAGAAGGAGGAGTAACACCAGCAGCATTCTGGAATAAATGGTGGGTCTTTCAGACTCTGATAGCTTCAGAAATATGATGCCCCTTTGTGACTTGGCAGAAAGGGTAAGTCATTTTAAACAGCTGGTTCATTCTGAATTCTGTGAATCCATTACAAAGCAGAGAAAATCAAGGTGGGGTGACTGCAGAGCTTTGTGAGTTGTATTTTAGCAAAGATATACTGGAATAATATTAGGAAACTGCCTCAAAGGTGTGAAGTGAAGTCTTTACCCTGCTGAAGCCAATGGGTACACTTTTACAGGTTTTAATAGGGCCAGATTTAACCTGTCAGGTGGTCAGTGAGGTGGATCAACCCTATAGAGTTTGGGCTGTTCGATGGCAACTCTTAATTCATCTTGTAAGCTGCAGATACCAGTTAAGATGCTGATTTTGCCCTGTGCAGGTGACCTGATCGCTTGCTGTTTTATCAGGAAATCTTGCTTTAGAAAAGAATTGCAGTATACTATTATTCCCTCAGGAGATTTAACATTCTTTATGGAAAAACCGAAGTATCTTAGACTACTGAAATGTAGTTATAGCCTTTCTTTTTGGACCCTATCCATATCTATCAATAGCTTCTGTGTCCACTCTCAAACTATTTTTTATAAAAAGTATACAACGGTTTTGGTAACTGCTTTTAGCTCATGTTGATGCCTGATAATTGCATAGACAGCAGGAAACATTCACATGTGGGAAGTTTTTAAAAGTCAGGTAGTCAGTTTCTGCTAGTCAGGATTTTAGGGTGGGAATTGCATGCCTAAAATCAGCACTGCTTCTGTGAAATCCAGTTCCAAGTGTGAGTTTACATACAGTCTTACCCTTTACTTTCTCTCCTTACCCTATTGGAAGAAATCTAATACAGCATGGTTGTGGAAGCATGTCTCTGCAGCAGCTGTAATGCTGACTTTAAAAATAAATGCAAAAGCAGAAAACCAAAACAAAAAAACAAACACAAAAAACTAGAAGTGAGAAAAAACCCACAACAGGGTATGCTTAGCAAATAGCTGAAGTCATGGGCTGAAAAACAAGGCTAGGAAATCCTGCATGTTTGTGGCCTCTGTATCAATGGCTGTGTCTCCTGTAATTCATGTACCAAGCAACTTCTCAGGGAAGTAAACAGTGCATAGAGGGAACTCAATCTTGACTTGATGGTTGCAGTCTGCTAGGCTGAATTTTCCTTTTGATGAATTAGTTTCTGGTGCCTTTGGTAGAAAATATTTCTATTATAGCAAATTCTGTTCTTCAGGAAGAGTAACAGTAAATTCTTCTGGTTTCCTTTATTAATAGGATTTTTTTTCTACATATAGTTATGCACTACTGTTTTTACACTACTGCACTTTGAAACTCCTTGCTTTCTGCCAGGGAAGCAGTAGATATGAGATGGAAGTTGAGAGAAGGGTGTGGAAAGTTGAAATGATTTGCCTGAAGTCACCACCCTGGCAGAGTCTATGCGAGAGCCCACTACCATGGCTGGTCCTGCTGCAGTGTCTTCTCCCCTCTTTCATTCTGCTGCTGTGGTAGTTAGAGTACCTGCACCAAACGCTTTTAGAGTAGACGGAAAACAAGGACAGTATGCTTTTGAAAACCATGCTAGAACTTCTAACTTAGAATTTTGAAAGTTTGTAATGGAACCAGTAAGTAATTTTTGACTTTGTTACAAATTTTTCAAAACTTTTATTGAAATAATAATTCAGCAATCTGCTTGGTGAATATTTTTTGTATTACTGTCATAAAAGTATTTACTTCCCATGATCAAGAATATTTTACATGTCCTTGAAAATACTTTTCAAAATGAGAAATCTGTTTTGCTGTGTTGACCTTGTAAATAAACTACATCTGGTAACTTCTAGACAAAATAAATAGGTGAGGCATAGAACATTCAGGTATTTGACATCAGTAAATCCAGGAAATCAAGGTACGCTTTCTAGGCTTATTGAAGTCTCTGTCCTGCTTCTGAATCTTTCTTCATCACTCACTTGAAAAAAAAAAGTTACTTTGCTTGTTTAGAGGAAATTCAGTTCAATAAATTCCTTGTCCTCATCCCTGTGTAAGCAGTATTGCACGCAGGTGTTTATTTAAACATGATTCATTATTAATATAGAGTATTTAGACAGCAGTGTACTGAAAATGAATTGCTTTGTTAGGTATTTAAGATCTCTATTGTATGTAGTTTGTTTTGTGGGAAAATGGCTATAGCAATCATAAAAGGTCAGGGATTCTTGCTCTTAAGCCTGAGGCTTTTTAGATACTTACAGGCCACGTACAATGTAGCTGTTCTGGCTGTTCTACCATTACACCTGAGCTCAGGAGTAGAAGAGGAACAGGGGAGGAGGGGTTGTTTCTGGGTTGAGAGGGTAATTGAATTGCCAGGCTCAATGAGCCTTGAGCCTCTTTGAGAAAAAGGATGTCACTTATGCTGTATTGTGTTAGCTGCTGGAACTCACTAGAGTTTAGGCCACAACTTCCATTTTCTTTTTCCATACAAACTGGATTACAACTCCACTTTATACAGGTACAGCCTATTCTGTTGTGTCTTCCCAGTCAGTGTTTCTCAGTTCATACGGACCGCTTGCAATTGTGTCTTTCAGAGACCAGACTTCACATTCACCATGCACACATTACTACTTTTGTTTCTAAACATCAGAAGATGGCAAACACGCATTCTGACTTCCAGCTGTCCTCTCTTTAAATACAACCTTTACATTGCAAAGTGTATATTTGTTTTATAACGCATAAGTGCCATTTTAGTTATTTCTGTCTTTGAAAAGAAAAAACACTAAGAAAATAAAGTGTTCAGCTGCTGCAGGGGAAAGCTTTGCCCCCTTACTCCTGAGTGAATCAGGAGTGATTTTAGGACTTTATGTCCTCCTTTCCCTGTGTTGATATGTCAAACCAAGGAGGACTCGGCAAAATGGAGCTCTAGCACCCATCATCCTTTAGGGCTTGCACAAGCAAATGTTGTATAGCAGCAGAAAATCCTACAGCTTCCCAGAAGCCACTCTCAGCCTGAACACTTGCAGCCTGGCCAGCTCTCCTCCTGTTAAGCAGAAGTGTGTGCTAGAGGAAGCTGCCCATTAGAAAGCAACAGCTGCTCACATGCTCTACGTTTGTACTATTCAGTGAGATGGTCTTGGAGCTTTTTGTTTCAGACACCTTTGTGGTTGAGTAGTTGCATTGAAGAACAACTGTTGGTGCAGTTTAGGCATGGGGATATTAAGTAGTGTTACATGGCACAGGCATAAGGAGTGAGTGACTCAGACTACAGAGGCTCAGCCCTTACGGTCTCAGCCTATAATGAAGAACTGGGGGTGCAGAAGTATCTTTTGAGTTATCAGTACTCAAAATCACACTTTGTCGCTACAGACCTGTATTATTAGCTCACACGTTTTTATCTCAAGT